CCGCCCCAGTGGACCCACCCTGTCAGCTTGCCTTAGCTATTGAGTGTCATGCACGTCTCCCTTCTCTTGGGCTTTGGGCTGTTGCACGTGAAGGTTTCACAAAGTTTGTGGACAAATGGAATTAAATGATAATGGAATTTTTCCACAAGCTTTTTGAACCCTTTTCATAATTCGTACCAGTTTGTGTGGAACAGAAACTTACTGCCACTAATCGTGACAAAGTGAAGATTCTAGAGCTCACATGTGGGAAGCATTTTGCCTGTATTCTCTGGATGGAACTGTGGTTTAGCATGAGGAAAGTATTGTTACCTTGGTGAGGTTTTTTTCTCCCTTAACTACTGGCTTACACTATTCCTTCCTCCTCTGCTGTGCCCTGACCCACCCAGGTGCACGGTGCCCTGGTGACATGGGTTAAGTGTTGGGCTGCTAATCCCAAGGTCAGCAGTTCAAACAACCACCAGTTGCTCAATGAGAGACTGATGGGGCTATCTGATCCCATAAAGGTTCAGTCTTGGAAACCCTATATAGGGTCCCTCTGACTCGGAATTGACTCATGGAAACCCTATATAGGGTCTCTGTGAGTTGGAATTGACTCGGTGGCATTAAGTTTTGGTGGTGAGTTAATGGACCCTGGTGGCAGAGGGGGTTAGGCATTGGCCTGCTGCTCCAGGGAGACGGCTGTAGCAGACTGCCTATGAAGATGTGGCACCTCAAACACCCTGTGGCCAGGGCTGCTGTGCCCTGGAGGGCTGCTGCTTCAGAGTTTTGGTGTCTTCTCCCTCACCAATCTGCTGAACACCCTTAGCCTGGAAACAGCAAGCGTCCAGAGTCTATGCCTCAGCCCTCTCCCACCTCCCCTTCCAGATTCTTCAGGAGAGAGGATCTCGGATGTGAAAGGAACATCTGAAGGCGCCCAAATCCCAGATGTCCAGCAAGCAATCCAGCAGAGCGCCTCTCTGCCGTTCCTCCTGCACCTGTACAGTAACTGAGCTACCGCAGAGCTGAGCCCAGCCTGCTCCCCAGATAACAGGGGAGACGTGTCCTGGTCAAAACCAAAGGATCCCCACCCCACCCGCAGGAATCCAGAGACCGATGCGACTCCTGGCCTATAGAGCACCTTTTCAGAAACCCGCTTTCATTTTCTTAGCCAGTGTTAGAACAGAACTTTCCCACTGCAGCTGGGCCGCATCCCAGCCAGAGTCTCTGTGGGGACCTGGAGGAAGGGGAAAGGGAGGCCCGGCTCATTGTAAATGGCTGTACTGAAAGTTAGCTGGGGCGCGTGATGTCCCCAAGCTGTACCAAGGCGGACGCGGACGTGCGCAGCTGCTTTGTAACCCCCCTCTCCCCCACTTGCCCCCTCATGCTGCAGGTGCAAAGAATTCTCGCTTCCGTTCATGTGGCTGAACTGAGGCTCTGGACAAAGGACAGATGGCCCAGCGCACCCTCACTCCTCTGCACAAGAGCCGCTTGGAGAGGGAGGCTGGGTGTCCTCTTGGTTCTGTGATACGGTTGGAGGTTGGCAGTTGCTGCTCAGAACCCAGGCCCTCAGCAGCTCCCGAATCGGCTTCGCCTGGTTTGTCTCCAGCAGAGTCTGTCATCTCTGTGGTTGAAGTTGGTGGACGCTCCTGCAATTTTTCCTAAACCACACTGCCCCGGCCTGCCTTCCCTGTCCTCGAAACTGGACCAAGGAGAGGGACTTTATAGGCCCTCTGGGGACTTGGAGTCAGGAAGGGTGTTTCTTTGAAAGTTGCCAAATGTGTTACATTGTTGTATCCAAAATGTGTTGTTATTCCGTGGTTGTCCCTTGGATATGCCTTTACTGAACGTGCAGGACCTGTGCTGCCTCCCAGCCCCTCTGAGATCTCAGAGACTCATGCCACCCCCCACCACCTGCGTGTCCACCTGCGGTCTGTGGGGCGCTGTGGCTCTGACCCACCCCCAACCTTGACGTCCTTGTCAGTCAGCCCGCCTTGGGGCCTTACCACAGAATTTCTCTCCAGACTTCTCTTTGAACTGCCGCGTCTCGATGAGCAATCGTGGACTGTGGACAGAGGCTGAGAATCCATAGTGTTTCCCTGGAGCATTCAGTAGTGTGGCACCTGTCTGTACGGTGAGCTTCCTCTAGGGGAGACGCCTTCACAGTGGGGCTCCTCTGTCGGCACAGCTCCCCCGCTGGCTAGGTGGGCCTGAAGGAGGGATTTTTGGAATGGACTGAAGACTGTGAACTGGTGTTGAGCTGGTGACTCGAACGAGCCCAGATGACTTAATTCTTCCCTAGCCTTTCTGTGACTGGATGGCTTTCTTTGTTAGATTTGGACAAGTCATGAAATGCATATGAGTCACTGAGTCATACTACCATTTTCTTGGAGAAGATGGATTTGGTAAGTGCTCTCTGGGACACGTATGTCCCACTGGACACTGGAGGACAAGAGGTGTGGGATGAGGCATACGAAAAAAAATCGTTCTTAATAAACTTATTTTATTGTGTGGCATTTTGGGACACATGGGGTAACACATAAAAGCCCCTGCAATTGCTGCTCATAATTGTTCAAGTCTCCTCCTTCTGAGTGCTGGATTTTCTGCATCACTGCCTTCTAGATCCCATGACAGGTAAATGCTTACCCGCCTGTCAGCACCATTTGTCACTTGACACCCCGCTTACTCCTGGCTTGTTCTTCACAAGAAAGGAGGGCCTTCCTCCTTTGATTTCCTGCCTAGTGAGAACCAGCCTGAAGGAAAGCTGGTCCCATCCGTCCCACTGTTAAGAGTTCCACAGTGTGGCACGCTTCTCAACACCAAGGTTGATACAGAGGCAGGCAGACTGAGAGGGCGCCTTCGGTGCATACCTTGACCTTCCTCTCCTCGGAGCTCTGGTTATTCCCTGTATCTGCTCTTTGGTGAGGGATTACTGAGGAGGGACCCTCTTTGCTCTTTTTCAGCATTAGTGACATCTTTTGGGTTGTGGATCATTGACGAGCCCGTCACCAGTGCATTGTCCTGCCACTTTACTGCCGACACACATCCTCGTATGAAACAGAAACCTTGTTGCCGTTCATCTTTCCTCTTGGCCGTATCTGGCAGCCCCTTCGTGTTGGCTCACATTGTGCCTCCTACAAACAGTCCCCTCTCATTCATGCTTTTTTCATCAAGCGCTAGGAGGAAGAGAATTGGCCCAAAGCTATGAACCCATGAAAATGTTGCATGAAGGACATAGTCCAGGCACAGCTCTCACTGAGGGCGAAACATGAGTCACTGCTGGGGCCCTTGGTTTCCGGAATAGATATCAAACTTCTAGAGCGCCAAACTTTGTGCCCGTGCTGAACAAGCTTGTATTGTTTATTGGCATGTGTCGTTTTATTGATGACCGGTCCGGAGTAGTACTATGCTTTCATCAACTGCCATGACCGTTGAGAGCACACACACCTCTTAAGGCAGCTACAGGGAGCAGTGACAGACACAGTTTGCGGAGCCTGGTTCTCAGTGCGCTATGCATTTTGAGTTATCACTGTAGTACATGTTCTTGGTCAGGGTGTTGGGAGTGTGTTTTAGTCGTAAGTTCTAGAATAGAGGAAGTCACTGGGTTGATAATGCCTGAGCTCTCTACAAGACATGTACCCCCACCCATCAGTATATGTGCACAGCAAGGAATGTCTTTATTTCCTCTGGGGTGGTGAGCTGCCACGTTCTACCTGGCATTCTAGTTAACTGACCTTGATGTGTTTTTAGTTCCTAGGTCCCCTAAAGATTTGTTTAGTCCTTCATAATTTCCAGAATGTCTTCTGTAAACAGAAAGTAGTCTACGCTGTCTCTTCCTAAGTAAACATCAGCATGTTACTGAAGCGAGTTCTGTTTTCAAAGAAGGAGACATCTTTGTACCATTCACCTTCCTCTTTTCCATCATGGGCATCATCATCCGATTCCGCCTTTTCTTCTGCAACATCGACTGCTACATCCTCTAGTTCCATGCCAATGCCCCTGTGGTACCATCAAGATGAGCTTGAGATGCCATAAGGCACATAAGCTCATCCAAGGGATCTTTGTCACATTCCTCAGAATCATCCTTATTCTCCGGTAGAGGAAAAAAAATGACCTAGAATCTCCTCATCCTTCAAAGAGTCCATTTTTACAATGAAATTTTCCAGACTCAAATAATTGTACATTCTGAAAAACCAGAATAGCGCCATAGCTCCAAACCAACCTAAGAATATACCAGAGGAGAAGCACATTCTTCGAGCTTCTGGTACACAGACAAAAGGATTCGGTGTCCCGGGAAAAGTACAACTGGAATGGATGGTTTCTTTTTTATCCCACAAGAACTGCTTGCTGCTTTGAAATTAGAAGAGACACCCTGGAGAATTGTAAATAATGTCCATTGGGCACACAGAATAGTGCCACACACTAATAACACACCATGTTCTCATGCAAACCACCCACACCCTCTATTCTTGCTCGCCAGCTGCTCCCCTTCAAGGTATTTTCCTAAGTCCCACTGTGCCAAATTTGTTTTTTTAACATGGTGTAACACACTTAGACATTTAATGAGGAGAGGAAGGGAGTGACTGGCAAACATGTAGAAGGCATGCACGGGATTTGTGTAAAGAGACAGTATTGTCCCTGAAAATCAGTTACTGACTTGAAAATGACACCATCAGCAAACCCACAACTTGAAAACACCACGGGAAGCCGCCGGCACACCTATGAAACGGACCTGGCCAAGTCCGAACATGAGCTAGACCAGTCAGTTTAATTCATTCACATCTGGGATGCTCCCCCTCACTACCCACTTAACACGTGGTTTGGTGCCTCTACATGTTTCTTCAGTTATGAGCAAGTCTATGTGGCCCACCAGATGCCAGCACATACCGTAACTGGGACGCTAATGTCCCAAGACGAAAGAGCAAAAAATGTATGCCATATATGTTCCCCTGGTCATGAAAGAACATAGCTGTTTTCCTTCTGTGTGTCTATAGAGAAGGATCGGAAGGTTCTGGGGGTCTGCTGATACTTACCTGTCTCCCCACCCCAAGTACAGGTAGTCCCAAGGTTACCTTTAAGGTAAGTCAAACCAGGTGCATGTGGCTCTCATGTAACCTAAATTTAATGCAGGAAGAGGAGCCCTACTGGTGTCGGGGGCTACTAACTGCAAAGCTAGTACTTTGAACCCACCCAGCACTCCTTGGCAGAAAGATGAAGCTGTGGACTCCTGTCAAGATTTATAGTCTGAGAAACCTTGTGGGGCAGCTCTATCATGTCTTAGGTTGTATTCATAGTGATCCTGTATAGGGTTTCGATGGAGCGGCTGATAGGTTTGAACCAACAACTCTCGACCCAAACTGACCTTGAGGTTGAATGCTTACTCTCCATAGCCACACCAGATCTTCTCAGGTTAACTGTAAGCCAGGACCCAGTGACGGCAGTGGGTTAGGTTGGGTTTGTTTTGGGGGTGGGAGCAGTTAGTGCAAGAGTTCTGACGTGGCACTGTAGGATAAACACTGGACTGCTAACCGCAGGGTTGGTGGTTAAAACCTACCAGCTGTTTCTTGGAAACCTTATTCAGACAGGGCCCTTATGATGTCACTTACCACGATGGCACTTAACTAATGCAAGAAAGGTCTGGAAGACTTTTCAATGATTTAATTAAAAGTTGCACGCACATTGCAGCAAATGAAGGTGATAATTACGAATTTGTTAAAAGTAGGGGTTGGTTCAAGGCGCTCTGGTGGTACAGTGGTTACGTGGTGCTTGGTTGCTAACAGAAAGGTCAGTGGTTCAAACACACCAGTCTCTTCGCAAGAAAGATGTGGCGTTCTGCTTCCCTAAAGATTTACAGCCTTGGAAATTCTATGGGCAATTCTGCCCTGTCTTGTAGCTACGAGTTGGAATTGACACAGTGT